TTATTTTTACTTATTAGTTTATTTTTGTTGCCATATTTTAAAGCAAATGCAGGCATTTTCACTAGTAAAGACATAAATGCAGTTTAACTAAGAACTTTTAAAAAGTATCAATAGAGCAATAGATCATGACTCTCAATAAATCCACAGCCTGGTCTAATATTCCAAAGCAGTTGGATTCTGATGTTCAAAATACAGACTAATTCTTTGTTTTGACTTTACTGCGATTTCCAGACAATAATAATCACTTTCATACAAGAAACAAACACAAAATGAGGCACAGCCGCAGAGGCCAAGGGCTGGCAGTGGCTGTCCCCTCATTCCCCAGGCAGAGGTGAAGGGGTGAAGTGGTAGACTATCTATCTCACTTTCCTCTCTGCCCCTGTGTCCTGTATGCCCTCTGAGCTTGAAATCCAGAGCCTTGCTCTGTGAGGACAGGGTCACCCCTTTCCAGCCATCCTGGTAAGAAAAGTCCACCTCTCCTCTTCCTGCCAAAGTAGCGAGTTGTCAGGGGAGCCACCTTGGAGACCCTGAGGATCATCAAGGGGTCCAGGAGATACTCCTGGCTACGAAATGTCAAGAGGATGGGATCCCACTTCCCAGCAGCATCACAACAGCCAGACAGCTTGGTGGATGCCCACAATGGTCACTTGAGGGGCTAGATGGCCAAAGGGAATTGTCCACATTATTGTATAGACAGGAAGGGAGAGCTGGATACTGCAGGAGTATCAGACTTGCCGGGAACAGAAACACCAGTGGAGGGTTGATCCCACCCCAAAGATGGCCAGGGTCTTGGCTGGCCTGCTTAGTGACTAGTGTGTGTGTGTGTGTGTGTGTGTGTGTGTGTGGAGGGGACGTGTTGGGGCACCTTGGTGGCTTCTCTGCCCCTCTCAGGACCTCAGCTTCCCATCCCAGTGAGGTGCCAGTTGGGGGTCAGAAGGCCATGAAAGATGCTTGAGGGAGAGACACTGACAGAGAGAAAGAGAAAAAGAGGCCTACCTGTCCCATCCTACCTCCTTCTGGGTTTTTGCCTGGCCAGCACCCGGGTCCTTCGGCCTCAGTCCAGCTGGGCTACTTTCTGGATGGGCGCAGAGCCCAGGCTCTGGGAAACCTCTTCATTGAGCAGCTGGGTGGGAGGGGGCTGATGAAGAGATACCTTGGGTTTACAAGACCTGAATGAGGTCAGCGGGCAGCAGAGGCCCTAGGTGCTCAGCCAGGCTAATGGAGGATGGTGGGGTATTGGCAGCTTGAAGGGCTGCCCTGGTGTGGTTTTGGATGAGGCAGTAGGGAGGGAGCACTGGATGTTGCCTGTTGTCCTGGCCCAGGGCCTCGAGTGGCCACAGGTCAGCTGGCCTATCTGGGTCTCTAGGATTTCAGCAGCTCTGGGTCCTGGAATGAGCTGGGTTGGGAATCTTCACCAGGTCTCCAGCACCACATTTGTCATCAAAAAGAGAACAGGTCCCTTAAAGCCCAGACTGAAAGCCTACACACACCTTTGTGGCCCTATCTGGTGCTCTGGGCATATTCCCCGCCTTCACAAGTCCCAGGTGCTCAGCTCTGAGAAAGGAGTTGATTTCCCACCATCCTCTCAGGCCAATGCCAGTGGGGACTCAGTTCTTGCAGTACCCAGAGGACTACTAGGCCAGGAGGAGATGGGTCACTCAACCAGACCATGACCTGGGAGCTGCGAAGAAATGTTTACATCTGCTGCCCTGGGGTATCCTGTTGACCTCACTCAAGTCAGAGAAGACTGAGTGTTTACAAGTTATAGATCCCTATCCTTACCACAGGTGTGTGATGGGGAAACTGAGGCCAGGGAAAGAGAATGGACTTGACCAAGGTCATCAGGGGAGCACAATTGGATCCAGACAAAGGACATGTGACTGGTGTGTCCAAAGCCTGTTTGACCCAACTGGGCTCAAAAACTCTGCAAGTGGAAGCCTGGAGCTGCTGAGGGTGGATGGAATTGAGCCTCACTTAAGGAGAGAGTAAGGCTGGTGAGTGGAACCGTGATGGGGGTGGGGGCAGTGTGCTGGAGACTGATCGAAGCCATTCATCTTCTACCAGCATGGAGCCAACGCGCCTGAGGTGCGCCTGCGATCGATGGCACAGTAGCTCAGGGCTCAGAGGGGCTGGCTCACCCCCGCCTGGCCTTGCACAGTACAATGTACGCACCGCTTTTCTGGTTCGTGGTGCCCTTGGAGCAATCCGTTCCCCAAGACAAACCTAGCAGATAATTATAGGGTGGGGCCAGTTCTGCTACTAATCCAGTTTTGGGTCTGCTCTATTCCAGTGTTAGCCTCCCAGCGTTGAGTGGGGACAAGCTCTCTCTGGCCTTTCCCCCTGAAAATTCAGAGAACATCCTCTCTTACCACCTCCTGGCTGTAGATCCGACCCGGGCCGGGTCCAGAGCAGGGAGGACGGAAGCCGCGCTGTAGCCCAACTTTTAACTAATTCTATCGGAAGACATATCTCTTTTCTTCGAATCCACCACGAATTTGAGCCGCGTAGACTGTACGAATTCTGACGTACAGGCTCAGGCCTGGTGACTGAGCTCCTCGCTTCCTGGGCAGGAGGACTGGAAGTTCCAGACCCGGCGCCCTCGCTGCCTTCACCGTTCTGCGTCTCTGTGGCCCCGGTATCAAATGGTTTCAGGGAGTCAGCCATCTGCTCAGGGCATTAGTGCGGACTAAGTCCCCTGCTAAGGGAACTGCTCCCGCCGGCCGCGGCGCCACCACCTCAGAGGCACCCTGCAGTCACCACTAGACCTACAGACCTCGCTGGCATAGGCAACAGTCTAATAAAACGGTTGCTTCGCATCGGTAACCCTTTGTAGCTTACGTTTTATTTACCCGGTTCTAAAAGGGCCAAGGTGCAAGAGGAGAGTCCCAGCGACTTTCGTAGTGCCGACCACACTGCCCAGGCACAGTACCGAGGCAGGACCCCGGAGAGTGCCGCAAGGGCCCCGCTGCTGGACCACTCATTTCCCAAACGCGAGAGCCGAAGACGCCATTGGCGGCTGCGTGCGGGAACGCGCGAGGCTCCGAGGCTGTGCCCAGGTCCTTTTGAGGACTGGCAACGATGCGTCTGGGGACTGGGTGTGGCCAACACAAAGGCGACAGAGGCCGAGAGAGCGAGGCTCCCAAGAGGAGCTTGAGCCGGGGGCGTGGAGGTCTGGGAAGAGCAGGCTTTGCCTGAAGGGCACCTACTGGCCCTGTGGGCACAGACCAGGAGCAAGGACTTTGAAACTGAGTTTCATTTCTTTGCATTGAAGCCTGTTGTAAATCCCGCCCCCCTCCAACAAACAAAGCAGAGTGAAAACTAGTTTCAAATTTAGCCTTGAAGAAGCCCAGGGAGGTTGAGGCAGCAGCTTCTACCCGCAGCGAGAGCAGAAGAGGTGGTGCTGCTGTTAGGCTGAGAATGGCTGCCCCCTCCACAGGAGTCTCTCAAAATGCCCACCCCTGTCCTGCAACAGAGCAGGACCCAGCAGGGCAAGGGCTGCTGAAGGAGCCTCCCACAGAGCCTTCTGACAATCCCTCAGAGCACCACTGAGAACCAACTCTGTGGACAAGTGGGGAAATAATTCTGGGTCAGGGGCTGGATGGCAAGGGCACACAGACAGATGGGCGACCCCCCCAACCCACACTGCACTGGCTTCTCCTGGTCTGTCTGGCTCTAACTCAGGCGCCCCAGGCCCAGTGTGTGGGCTGTTCAGGGTCTCTGCATCTCAGCAAGGGAGTGTGTGTTCCTAAGTGAAGTAGGAGAGGGGATTTTAGGGGGCTCAATTCCACCACCGAAACAACCCTCTCAGACTCTGGGCTCCAAACACACCAAATAGTGCCCCCCACTCCGCATAGGGCCGATCCACTCCCCATTTTCACCCCAAAGCAGGCCAGTGATCCAGTAATCCAAGCCACTGAAACAGCTTTCCAGGAGAGACAGTAATCACAAGCTCTGACCTGGCTGTGCTGAAAGGCAGTCCCTCAGGTAGCTGAGACTCTAGACTCCAAAATGAGGCCTGAGGCAGGGCACAGCACTCTCCACCTAACCTTGAGTACCAGTGTTTTGTTTTGGCCCAGAGAAAAATACCCCTTATGGTTAGATACAGCTCTCAACTTCAAGAGAAAAAGCAGTGAACACAGGTGGCCACACAGTTGGCAGGGCCTCAACACACTCCAGTGGTCATCAGGCTCCACCCTCACCTGCCTCACAGCTACCTTCTGCCCTGTCCACCCGGACGTGCCCAGCCCTGGGCTCCAGGTATCCCTGGTTAGCATTGGAAAGTGTCCCAAGGAAGAAGAGCACCCACCACAGCCTGCCACCAGAGGAGTAGTCTCTGAGCCAGTGATCACAAAGCAATGAACCGGTCCAGAAAATGTCCCTTTTTATTCCATACGCAAATAAGTAGATTCATTAAAAAACAAAATAAAACAAAACAAAAAAACCCAGAGGCCACATCCCAAGAGAGAAGCCCCAGTCTGGCCCTCTTGTCAGAATGGACAATCAGCTGAGTCCCACAGGTCCAGGGTTCTTTCTCCATCAGGGCCCACTGGAGGGGGACAGTCACATTCCTCCTGCTGGCCTGCTGCTGGGGTCCCGGGAAAGGGACTTTTGTGTTGGGGGCTTAGCACATGGATGGGGCAGTCACTCACAGTCCCCAGACCACCTGTTTGTAGTTTTTTCTGTGGCTGCTGGGCTTGGACTGAGGCGGGAAGAACCGGCTCCTCAGCTAGGGCTGCCCCATGGTCTTTTTCCATGTGGGGATCCAGCCTTGCAACTGATGGAGTCATAGTCACAGGCATCCCGTTACATTCTAGAGGAGCTCAGGAGCTCAGGACAAGGGCTGGTGACCCTAGGTGCAGCCTGCGCCCTCGCGGTGCGGAGGCGGCCCTAGAAGCCGTCCAGCCCTCCCTTACCGCCCCAGCCCCGCCGGCGCCCTCCGCTGTGCTGCCAGTCCACAGAGGTCCACAGCGGCCACAGGGAGTGGGCCAACAGGCAAGGGCTCACACCAGACCCGGCATCTGCGCCCGCAGAAAGGGCACCGAGGCAGCGGCTGGGAAGGCCGCCAGAGGGTAGGCAAGGGCCCCAGAGAAGCCCAGCAGCGGTGGGGGAGGCGCGGGCGCGGCGGGCGCCAGCGGGAAAGGCAAAGTGGCCGGGGGCCCGGTGGCGGCCGCAGCCTGGGGACTTTCGTGGTAGAGCACCGGCACGCGGACGAGGCGCTGTGCTCCCGGCGGGGACAGGCTGGCGGCCTCCAGCTCAGCAGCCAGTTGCCGCTTCCACTTGTTGCGGCGGTTCTGGAACCATATCTTGACCTGCGTCTCGGTGAGCTGCAGGGAGGCGGCGAGGCCAGCGCGCTCGGCGCTGCTCAGGTAGCGCTTCAGATCGAAGGTAGACTCGAGCTGGAAGACCTGGCTGCGGGAGAAGACAGTGCGTGTCTTCTTCTTTCGACCACCACCAACGCCAACGCCACCGCGCACTTCCCCAGCCGCCGCAGGGGCCTCGGCCAGCTCTGCTGCCTCCTCCGCGCTGGCCACGGGGCCCCGTGCTGCCAGCTCGGCTGCGTCCCGCTGCACTGTTCCCGGCCCGGGGCCCCGGGGCCAGGCACCCTCAGCACGGCCCATCTCCTCGCCAGTCTCCGGTGAGTCCCGGTCGCTAGCTGCAGGGGAGAGAGGGGCACCATGGTTGGTTCTAGGGGTCGGATCTCCGGACGCAATCACTGAGGCCAGATGCTCCCCGCCTTGAGATCGACCATAGCTACAAGCAGGGCTCTGCATCCATCCCGCACTGCTGGGGATAAAGAAAGGCAGAGCCATAAAGCCACAGACTCAAAGGCCAGTGAGCTGCTCCAACCAACACACACAGCCGCTCACACACAAAAATGCACACCCACACACAGAGGACAAGAAGGAAGAGTGAAGAAAGGAAACACCAAAATACAAATAGACTTCAAAAGCAGGTTTGACCCCTGACCACTTTCCACTCCTAGCTTCAGCACTGGCCTCCTGGAGAGACACAGAAAAGACCTGGGGAAATACTAGGACAAGAGGAAAGATGTCCTTTTGAGAAAAGTACACCCTAGAAAACAAGCGCAGAACACCCCTACCACCCAGCTGCCCGCCTCCGGCCAGCCGAGTGCTCCAAACAGAGGAATAAAGACTTGTGGTGACCTCTCCCTCTTCACGCTCCGAAACTGTTGTAAAACACTTGCCCGCTTACATAGAAACATTGCCCGCAGAAGGGCAAACACACCCAAAAGATCCCCTAAAGATGCCAGTCATGTGACACTGGTGCACTGACACCCCATACTGCTGACCCAGATGCCTACAGAGGCATATCTATACTCCAGCCACAAGCATGCTTAAAGGAAACATGGATTAATACTGCTCCTAGCAACATGCAGCAACCTGCCCTGAACATCTTCTAGACTGGTACCTGCCCTAAACATGTTCTAGGCTGGTGATTAGGCTTGTAGTTTTAGGAGGTACAGAAGCCCACAGAGGGTCTCTGAGTTTGTGTTTCAAGTACCAAACTCCACCTCATCTCCCACAGGTAAGGAGAGGTCCATGGGGTTGGCAGGGGATGACACCTGGTTAAAAAAACCTGCCAGGACCTAGGAGTGCTCATCCAGATAGAAGAGGGAAGCCACCTCAGACAGCAGGGCTCTTACTGCTGTGGCTTTATGGCTCTGCCTTTCTTTATCCCCAGCAGTGTGGGATGGATGCAGAGCCCTGCGTGTGGCTATGGTCTACTAAACCAGAATGCCTTTCTGGCTTGGCCTGGAGCCTAATGTGCAAGGGGCGGCCCAGAATAACAGGTTGGAGGTCAAGGTGGAGTTTGGCCTGGCCCTTGGAAAACTGCAGACTCCAGCGGAGATGTGCCTACTGTGTATTTGCACACTCGTGGAAGGTGCGAACACTGGTGAGACTTGTGTAGGTGGCTCCCGCTCTGTGCCTGGTGTATATGGAGTGTGCAGATCCTGTTCATACCCCTGCCCCACTGCCATGGCATGTGTCCTCATGGTGCCCACAGAAAGGTCAGGTAGCAGGTTATATGTTACCAGATCTGAGGAGCCCCTGTCTCCCAACAATAGCCCAAACACCCCAACTCCTAGAGGCCCCTCCGTTGCTACAAGGAGCTAAGCTGGCAACCCTAACCCGCATTACACGAAATAAGGAGTTGCCTCCACAGGGGCTGCTGACTGGGGTGCTGGAGGGGACAAGAGGAGAGCAAATTTCACCCCTTGAAACCCTTTTTATAATCACCTCCAGAAGGGCACTAAATTAAAGCGTTTGATTTCAGGGAAACTACGGAGGCCCTGCTCAAGTTTATGAGAAGTGGGTAGAGGGCCTGGACTTTCTGGGTGTGGGCTTTGAAATGTAGGTCCTTTTGTGAGGGGCTATTCCCACACCATGGAGGGGGTTATCTGATGGTTGAGTGGGGTAAGTGTGGCCTGCAGGCTACTTATCCCCCAGCACATACTGACATGCATAGAACAGAGATGGACTCCAGAGGCACAGGCTCGAGAAAGAATCCTGATGTGGCCTCAGTCTGCACACTGTGTTGGCGGGGGGGGG